GGCAGTAGAAGAATGGGCAACAACAATCGAGGCTGTGGCATTTAAGCTATGAGAGGAAAATAGAGCTCTGCATGTAAAGATGACTATCATGACAAATTCTTTCTTGAATTATCTTCTCACTCTCGTCAGGTAGAACTTCTGCTACACAACTCAGGGAGGGAATGACCCTTGGCATCGGTAGGAAGGTGAAAGTGAAGTTTGTCTCCTCTGAGTGGGCCAATATGGATAGATTTTCTACCTTGCTTTCGAACTTGGAGCAAGAGAAAGAGGACAGTGGTGAAGACGTTGGACGATCTTTGAATATGTGATTCGCCTTCAGCTTCATTTATAACATAGAAAAAAATTTCTTTTTTTTCTTTTTGAACACTTGTAAATAAATGCATAGGATATTCTTTATAAATTTTCAATCATGAAATAAAGTAAAGCTTTTGGTCGATTTTCACCTTCGTTTTTTGCACTTTACATTTACCATAAATTTTATTTATCTTGTGATAAATGATTGGTTGTAATGATTGATAGTTTGAGGCTTTTAAGAATTTCTGTCATTTTTTATGAGTTGATGCCCGGCTCAGGTCTTACACATCTCATGTCTAGGTAGTTCCGGTTTGGTCGTCGCCTTGGACGAGTCGCATCTTACGCCAGACATATTAAGCAGATCTTGTATAAGTCTTCGCGAGGATAACCGTTGAGATAGAAGATGGATAGATATGGATAGATTTTCTACCTTGCTTTCGGACTCGGAGGAGGAAGAGGAAGAGGAAGAGGACTGTGGTGAAGACGATGGAGGGTCTTTGAATGGGTTATTCGCATTCAGCTTCATCTATAACAAAGAAAAAATTTTCTTTTTTACTTTTTGAACACTTGTAAATAAACATATAGGATATATTTTGTAAATTTTCAATCATGAAATAAAGTAAAGCTTTCGGTCGATTTTCACCTTCGTTTTTTGCACTTAATGTTTACCGTATATTTTATTTATCTTGCGATAAATGCTTGGTTGTAATGATTGATAGGTTGGGGCTTTTAAGAATGTCTTCGGTCATTTTTTATGAGTTGCTGCCTGGCTCAAGTCTTATGCATCTCATGTTTCGGTCGTTCGGTTTGGTCATCGCCTTAAACGAGTCGCACCTTACGCCAAACATACTAAGCATATCTTGTATAAGCCTCCGTGAGGATAATCGTTGAGGTAAAAGATGGATAGATATGGAGAGATATTCTAACTTGCTTTCGGACATGGAGGAGGAAGAGGAGGACAGTGGTGAAGACGGTGGAGGGTCTTCGAATGTATGATTTGCCTTCAACTTCATCTATAACATTAAAAAAAACTTCTTTTTTTTTCTTTTTGAACACTTGTAAATAAACGTATAGGACATTCTTTGTTATTTTTCAATCATGAAATAAAGTAAAGCTTTCGGTCGACTTTTACCTTCATTTTTTGCACTTTACGTTTACTGTATATTTTATTTATCTTATGATAAATGATTTGGTTGTAATGATTGATATGTCGGGCCTTTTAAGAATGTCATCGGTCATTTTTTATGAGTTGCTGCACAGTTCAGGTCTTACACTCTCATGTCTCGGTTGCTTAGTTTGGTTATCGCCTTAGACGAGTCGTACCTTACGCCACACATATTAAGCAGGTCTTGTATAAGCCTTCGCGAGGATAATCGTTGAGACTTGCTACTAGAGTGATTCATACGCTACCCACCACGGATCTTATCAATGGATTGGAAATCGCCAGCAGAGCTTGATCTGCTTCGAGCTAGGAGACATGTTTTTATAATGCATGAGCATTGTAAGTCGGTTCTTGCATGTTTTGCTGATCAGATAATTATTCATCGTTATCATTCACTTAAGAAAATTTTATCAATCAGACGTTCCTTGTCTCTGTCGGTTTTTAAGAAAGTATTATCGATCAGACATTAATCGTCGTTGCCAATTACTTAGAAAGTTTTACCGATCAAAATTACACGTCGCTGTCGGTTTTTGCTGCTTGTGTGGAATCACTGTTGACGAATCAATTCGAGTTCCCCAAGTGTTGGTCAGATTTTGACGATCCCTCGCATGAATTTCCTAAGTTTTCCGAGTGTCGGCTTGACTTGGCATTGTGTGCATAATTAGAAAAGTCATAACCATTTTTATGATCTTGACAATACAATACAAGGGTTGGAACGATAAAGCATTCTCAGCCATGTCGGGCATTGGTCAGGATATCGAACCTGATTCCCTTGGTGGTACGCTCTCTTGATATCGGTCGGTTATCTGAGTGTCTTTGTGAGTTTTCGAGGTAAGCTGTGAGGATTGCACCTCGACTCCCTCCTTTCTCCATGGGTGATTCTCTTTAGTGGGTGGTAGTTGACTTGCTCGATTCTAAATAATATGAGAGAGGAGTTGTATCCTTCTGTCGATATGTGAGTGTTGGTCGGTACCAACAGTTCGGCTAGCATCTTCGGTCGCTACAGGCCTAGCACGTATCAGAAGGGTCCTTTAGTCCTTGAGCTAGGGCGGCATGCGCGATCGAAGGTTCTAGATCCTGCACTTCTAACATCTTCTGTAGGTGTGTGATGAACAAATGAAGGCTCTGGTTCTGTCCCTATCGGATCTGTGGGAGGGCCTGTGAATTGTTCCGAGATTTTTGTGCGCTAACAAACTACCCTACAAATATTCGTTTAAAATCAATGAAGGATGTAAACACTCCTGACCTTAAACCATTAAACAACCTGAGGGTCGACTCCCTCAGCGTGGTAAAGAAGGGACGGCATTTCAGTGCGTCATTAATCCTCAACAGACACAGTCGAATTAATGAGGCTATGTGGTTTGTCGAATCGGTCCTACACTTGTAGAATTCTAATGTCGGGATCTTGAACCTCTCCGGGAGCTCGGCCTCATATATTTGCCGAGAGAATGCATTATCGGGCTGTCAGGGCGCCTCAACAAGTCTAAACTCGTAGCGGTCGATAGGTGCGGACCCAACACTATCAAAATACTGGGATTGTCTTCTCTTTCCAGGGCCTGGTGAGCTCTTCGGTCGTTGGGCGCTACCTTTTTCCTCTTAGGAGTACTGTTCTCTTTCTCGAGCCAATGCAGCTCAAATGGCATCTAACATTTGATCCTTCAACTCCTGGATTTGCTTGTTCACAAACTCTCTGGTGCACTCCATGTTGTCTGTGTCTCTATTGTGAGCTTCTTCTTCGTAGGTTGTCATCTTCTTATCTAAGGCATGATTCACGCTCACTGCACTTTTTAGGATATTGAATACTTATTTGTCTCTGAGTCACATCTAAAAAATAGAGCGTAAGGAGAGATGAAAAGAGACAAAAGGAGAGAATGAATAGAGATGAATGATGATCACTCATGTTGACATTTCTCATCTTTTTTGGGTAATTTGGGTATTCTTAATCATGAAATGATCTTCCTATTTATAGGAAAGAGAGTACAATATGGTGATCTGATATTTTACCCCTATTTTAATGGGGGTTATACTAGGTATTCTTGGCATTATGCAGGTATGAGCCCATCGCTCAGCTGCTCCATGGCTAAATTGATCGAGCTTGCTCGACTTTGGGTCAGTAGGATCAGCTCAATCAGAACTATTTTGACTGTCAATCCCTGATAATGATTCAAGGAGCTTCTGGATAACTCCCATATGATTGGAGATGCTGAGGGGATTTGGCCTTTCCACGAGTCAGCTTCTTAGAGATGATTGGCACGGATTCAACTTTGTTCTGTTCCGGACCGAACGGTTCGAACTCGGATCATTCGGTCATCATTCGCGGCTTGGGCAACTTTGGTTTTACTGGCTTTGGCTTGGGCAGATGTACTTGGTCGAATAAGTGGGTCTCATGGTCTTCTGTCAGTGAGCCTCCATCATACTTTTTTCCTCTAGACCGTTAGATCTTCTCGAGATCAATGCGGACAATAATGCCAAAATAAACTTATTTACAATTAGTGCCACTCAAATTATCTATTAGATATTATTATTTGTCTATTATCCCAAAATTTATCCTTCACAATTTCATTTGTATAGCATTGTCCTGAAGCCTACACCGTCAACTGCAGTAAATACCCGACCACCTTCATCTACCAATGGTAGATTTATTGATGTGACAATCAGGCCAATGGCTTAAATAAGAAGAAAAAATGTGAAGTGCACAGATGAACAATTACTGAAGGCATTGAGCTATGTAAAATTAAAGTTTAGCTGTTAGATGTGTAAATACATAGGAATTGAGAGGTATGTATGTATATCTGCCAAAAAAAAAAGTTGGAGAAACACTAGCACCTTATCAATGCATAAAAAAGTGTATTTCAATTTTTAAAAGTTAAAATGGTGGTTTTTTAAAAAGATTTGGATTATGTAAATGTAAAAAGCAAATTTTTTGTAAGATATGCAAATACATATGATTTTTTTTTTTTTATTTTTTGGTCAACAAGTGGCCTTATAGAAGCACACATTGCAATTTGATAGCTATATAAAAATTGATCCATTGGCATAAGACCTTGATTCATGTGTCATGTTCTTTACTATGATTGGAAAGTAGGTGGGCCCCACTACAAAAGAGAGAGACAGAGGAAGAATGGTCGACAGATTGCAACAGGAACAATGAAATATGCCTAACGAGTAAATATTTCAAAATAGTTTTGGGGACACAGATGAATGATATTTAAAAAATTTACAGCACCTTAAACAAATAGACCAACCGTAAAGGCATATCAAAAAATTATCCTTCTAAAGTTACGAAAAAACATATGGTAAATATCACATGGAATTTCAGGCTGACCCGATAAAGAGATGATGTTGGCCCAAGCAAGTGATGATGTTCAAACATGAACAAAACAAAGAACTGCTTTGTTGTCCTGAGAGATAAAGAAGGTAGAGAAGGCCACCCAACAGCATATTCCATTTTTTTCATTGTGCATATGCTAACCACACAATAACAAGAACAAATTTCAAATCTTTAGAATCACCTTTGCTCGAGATGGGAGAGAGACAATTTTACCTCTGATAGATAGAAAACCTTCCCAAAAAGGGCCTGTACAGCAAGTTTTCTTTTGAATCCCTTTTCTGTGAATCCTGAAATATCCATGACAACAGGACCTGCAGACAGATAATATTACTCCAAATGAGAAGGAATACATTCATTCCCTTTTCACTGCATCAGTAAAAACGTACTCAACACAGCAACAAGTTTCAACATAGATAGTTGAACATGTATATATTCAACAATTTTGGGTGAATTTAGCATGCTTAAAGCCTACTCATTCTTTGCTCAAGCTTGACAATTCCACTCACAAACACCATCCCTCACCACTCAAATTTAAACCATTACCGACTCTTCACTCTCAACAACCCTCACAAATGAGTATGTAACCTAATTCCACCCATTCAAGGGATACCGACTTAGGTGCATAACAGATATGCGAGACTCACAATTGATACGTGGAATTATGTAACCCTTTAAGAGATTTCAGTTAGCAAGATGCAAATGCAATGCAAGGCACAGTGACTTGATTTAGGTTTAAGTCTCCCTACCTTTAATTACTGCTCTTACTTATCATAAATAGTTCAATTGGGAAACCAGCTCCAATGTTTGGCTCAGAATATTGAAACTTCATCCTCGTGAAGCTAAGTTCTGGTGAAGTTTATTACAGATGCAATCCCAACCAATTCTTGACTGATGGGAAGGAATATGGAGGATATCCCAAGGTGCCCATGTGGCTGTGCGGAGATGGACTGCTCGAACATAACAGTGAATTGTGACACCCTTAAAGCTACTTTCCAGGTGCTGGGAAAATGGGATTTTCGGACCCCAACTTTCAACAATTTTGAAGATCACTCTTAAGTGTATGAAAAAAGACAAGGCGGAACACAATACAGTTAAAAATTCATGGTGTGATTTATCAATGCTGGAGGGCACGGAATGCGAAGCAGCATGCCGGCAGTTTGGACTCCTACGGTTATGGCCTCAACTATTTTATCTTCACTAACCCAAACTTTTACTTTTCCCGCTCGGACTTGGATTTTGATGGGGCTTTACTACCTTCCGGTCTTGCGGGGTTGGGGGTGATAATTCGTGATGAATCAGGCAAATGAGTGGTGGCGGCCGCGCGGAAGCTTTGCACTGGGACAGTTACTGTGTGGAGCTGGAAACTGTCCTGCTTATTGGCACATTGACCGAACAGTAGATGAAGGAGATGAATGGTATGGTTATTGAGGGAGACAACTATAATGTTATGCATGCACTCCAACAAACAAAGGATAAATCATTTTGGTGCCAATCGAGCAATCTCGACAACGATTTGACTTTTTTGACCTGTTTTTGCCAGGTTCATTTCTCCCATATAGCTAGATCTAACAATTTTACAGCTCATACTTGTGCTCAATTTGCTTTACAGGATAGTTTTGTTGTTAGAGATATAGATGATAGTCATCCCTTATCTGTTTCTGTCAAAAGGGATAGAGGTTTTTGTGAGCAAGCTAGTTAGCTGCTCTTTTTTGTATGTTTTGTAATCCTCTTTTTATTTAATGCAAATTGTAAACCCTTCACGGATATGACATTGCAGTTATTATATTTTCAAATTTATACATAAATAAATACTTGATACAAAATCCCAAGACAACAAAATCCTAAGACAACCAACAACCCTACATTATTTCAACCCATTACCTCTTTTGAAGAACGGGTGTCATAATTATTGTTCGGGCATTCACAATTTCAAATAGGTTTGGGAAGAACAACAAATCCGATTAACTGGGGGGCATGATACAGTCCGACTATGTACAGCAATGGTGGTGAGGATTTAACACAATTTGCCAAAACATGGCATGTCTCCATTTCAAATTGTTTCCCCTCATGTCATACAATTCACTATGGACACTAGAAGCTCAAGCTCCAGAGTCCCTTTCCACCTAGCACTTACCTCCTCCTTCATAATCCCACTTCCATATTGCATTACCCATCCATCTCCTACAATTTCTTTGAAATAGTAAATTAGAAAGACCTTTTCCATGATTTCTCAACCTTGTATTTTTCAATGTCCTCCACTTCCATAGTCCCTCCATTTCTCACTTTCTGCCCAAGTAGTTTTCCAAAAGCGCCCTATATATAACATGAGGCATGGAAAAATCCAAGTCCAAACTCATCCTTTAACAAGATTAAAGATACACGGCCGTTAAAAGAAAACAGTAGGGATATTGAAAAATACAATGTCCATTGTCCAGTAAAATAGAACTTTCTAATTAATATTAGAAGACACCAATGCGTGGCAAAATAATTATACAGGAATAAGGCTTAAGTCACCAACTGGTAATTTCCTGAACCACTAACAACTCCCGTGCCACCTAACTCTCTACATATTACAAGATTGCCGAAGATCAACCTTGAAAGGGATAAATCTTCACCACCATGAATGATCATTCATTTATTTTGAGAAAAAGATAAGACTTGTTCTGTGCAATATAAAAATTTTTAATGTAATATAACAAGAATTTCAGCAAAACATTACATCACAAAGTGCCGCATCGCAGAACTACAAAAATTTCATTTTGTTAATGTAAATAAATAAATAAAAATATGAACTATAAATGATATTATACAAGTACAATCTAGAAAAGTAGTAATAATTTAAAGAAAAAAAACCTTTTATTGGTTAGGTAAAAAGGAAATAGCATGCCACCATACTGCCAAACAGATTCTTGCAGTACATTTAAAAATAAGTTCAAAGACATCAACTAAGAAGAATATTAAACCATGTGGGAAAAAATATCACCTTTTTCTTTAACAATTCGTCTTGAAGTTTCATTTAAAACTTCAGCTACTTGAAGATCTTCCAGCATTGATGCTTTTCTCAGATGTATTAAAGAAGCCACAGTATCTGCATTGAAGTGCTTCTCATTCAGTACATATCGGATGTACTTCCTCAAAATATCATCCATTTTAAAGCCTGTCTGAATGATTACAAAAAAGCATCAGTTACAAGCTTTGTTTCACTAAATATGCAGTTCTAGCAAAATGAGTTGAGCCGCAGCAATTTCTAGCAGCCACAGTTGTTTATTCAATCTTCAAGATGTTGCAACGTTTAAAATTTTGGAGGGAATTTTGAATTCTTTTTGGAGAGAAACAGTCTTTAATAAAAGAGAGATTTTGGAAAGTGTGAAGGGTGGTGTGTAAGAGGCGAACAAGAGAGTTTTAGAGAGAAAAAATCAAGTGCTTGGAGATCTTCTTAAAGGATTGTAAGAGGAGAGGGAATGTGAGAGATTTCTTCTTCATTGCACATCTAAGAGAATTGAAAGTGCTTGAAAAGAGAGAAAAACTTGAAGAGAACTTCTAGGAATTTGCTTGAGAAAGATTGTGAGATAAGTTGTCATTTATTTCTTTTATTTTGTAAACTTGTTTTTATATATGAAATCCACGTTTCGTCATATCCTTCTCATGAATTATGAGCAGTCTTCTTTATTCTTCTCCCTACTTTAAGATGTGGTTTTGTAAAAAATTGATTTTGTTTTATACGGTTTTAAATATCAATAATTTGTGATGATTTGAACTCCGACCTTCATTTACTTTTCGATCTGGTCAATTGAATTTCAATTGAATCAATTGAATTGTTAAAATGTGTTAAAAAATATATGTTTCAAAAGGGCTATGATTTCTACAACATAAGGAGAATCACATTTCATTTCATGGGAGAGAATGTCATCCATGGAGTTGAATGCAAATAATATGAAAATCTACTTTGTTGGATACAGAATTGGAGATTTTAAGGTGACAGATTAAAATCTCCAAATTGGTCCAATTGGTCCAGTTGATTGGAAACTTGTTTAAGAACTAAAATGAGAGTTAGCTTTCAAGGGAAGGGAAGTGATAGCTCTAAAGTGGCAGTCGGTATCCTCCCAGCCTAACCACAATATTAGGGATCAAATTCTGGATTAGACAATTTTCTTTATGCACTCGGAAGAGGGTAAAGAATAGGATTGCTCCTATTTGACACAAAATAATTTATATATATTTTCAAATGAATTTAATTTTTTCACAATTCATATACTCATTATAAAGGTGAGATGTTTTCTTAAATTTGAACTCTTCGACAAAAAAAATTTGTTTTGTTTTCGTAAATTTTACTTTTGAAAGTTTACAATTAGTTTAATTAACTTTGTCTTTTTACTGTATCTTATTTAACATTCACTCTATTACTTTATATTCGAATTTAGCACTTTTGTAGTTTAAAATTGTAGTTTACATTATAATCTTAAGACTTTACTTGTAAGCATTTCCAACTTCCCTGTGGAATCGATATCTAGGACTCCATTAGAGCCATTTTTTACTTAAGCGATACGTATACTTGTGTTATTTTTAGAGGATTTGGTAGTTTAAAGATTTTTAAAAGAAAAAACTATTTTCACTAACGTTGTTTTTGTTGTGATTAAATTGCATATTTACCATTGTATCTGTCGTGTGTATTTTGTAATATTGAAAAATATTTGCAAAATTAGCACACTAAATCCACTGCATCAAGTACAGCAATTTGATTCTACATGGTTGAGATGTCAAGATAGAAGAGAGATTTCATCAACTTATCTTGCAGTAGGTTGGTCTCCCCCCATTGAAGATGAGTTTGATTGAAAAAACCTAGCTTTCATCAAAGGTGGCATCTTTTGAAGTGAAGAGTATATTGACAGTTGGAAGATAATGCTTATATCCTTTTCGAGGAAAAAAATATCCTACAAATACACACTTAAGCACTCTAAGACCAAGCTTATCCTAATGTTATTTGTGAATACAAACATTGAACTCAATTATTTAAAAGAGGATTTTTTAGAACTTATTTGTAGGAAAAAAACTCTATAAGTTAGTCTATGAGCGATGTAACACTCAGTTTATCTGTAATGCAAGCGTTATTCATCGAAAGAGAATGAATCAAACTTTTAAAAGGAGTCGAGAGCAAAAACTGAGCGAGGGAAAAGGAAAAATGAGGGGAGTTAATATTTAGCTGTAATAGTTATGAAAATAATAATAAATGAATAATGGTAATTACTTATTGAAAGTTAAGAATATACTTCATAAAAATTAATTATGAATTAGAATTTTAAATTTGAACAGAGTATATTAAGTAGAATTTAAATTAAATAAACATAATAAACTAGTGTAAAAATTACAAGATTAATAATATAACTAGTATAAGGTGTTAAATTTAATTTAATTTTATTGAATTCATTAATTAAATAAAGTGAAATTTTAAATAAATAAATAGTAATGATGATGTTATGATTTACCTTTGGTTTAATATATATTGAATTAAAGAATTGAATGCAAAAATAGGCATAATAAGTCTAATTAAAAATAAAATTCATTATTATGAGTATTTTTTTCATAAGCGTTAAACCAAAGGAGGTGAAGTACAAACAAAAGATTGGATTTTCAGCTAATTGAAAAAGATGAGTAATTATGATTTTACATTACAGTAATTTTTTTTATTATTGAATATATTCTTAATTTTAAATTTTCATATTTATACCCTATATTATTTAGGCTTAGACTATCATTAATGTCTTCATATTGTTAGACAAGAAATTTGCGTATTAACATTTATGTATAAATAGTTGCACAATAATTTTCATAAAAGGATATTAGATTATCACATGATATTTAAATTCTTGTGCAATATATTTATTCATTAATAGATAGATACAAAACGTTGCATGAGAAAATAATGTGTTAAGAAGAATGAGCTAAAAATATTATATACATAAATATTTTTATATGCATGCTAAGAGGAGTTCACTGCGTTATGGTATTAGTTGGGGATGTCAATGTACCTGCAATTGTATATGTTTTCCTACCATCTCTGATAAATTGTGAATTTAAGATCACGAATCATTGTGCCGATGGGAAAATATTGATAGAATAGAAAAATTTCTCACCATAGTAGACCTAGTCTGCACCCTATTGTGTCGATGGGGCATGTATCGGTCAAGGGTGTGTTAGGTTATATTTAGATGGTGCCCTTGAGACGGATGCTTTAGTTAAGAATAAGAATACTAAAAGTTAAAATATTAAACTTTGTAAAAGGAAATCAAGGTTAACGCATATATAAATCTTAAATTCCTTCCATAAGCAAATGTTATGTACATTTTATATATATTATTATTTGATTTTTATAACGTAATAGAAAAGGCCAACATACAAGTATTTTTCATTGTATTACTGTAGTTAAGAAATAAAATTACTCAATTGGGTTGTCATAGATAACTCTTTATGCTGTTTTAACATTTTATATATTTAAGCTTTCAAATGAGTACTAGAAAAGAAATATGTACAGAAGACAATACCGACAAACTAAAATGTAAACTTATTATTTGTTAATTAAATTATTTTCTTTAGTAGCTCTTTCAATTATTGAGATTGTAATTAGTGATAGAAAATGAAAAAAGCAACTTTTAATTTCACAATTCAACCATCCATTCAAGTCTTAAAAGTTCTAGGCCCTGGACCGAGTCGCGAGAAAAATTATAATAGCATAAAAAAATTTAACTCTCGGCCTGGAGGGAACAAAATGTTCGTGATCTACGTGTCGATTTTGCAGTTGGTTCCCTATAAGTCTTCTCCATTCTTTCTTCATCGTATAAACCATGATTGGACGCTCGCTCATTATCTTCACTGCTCGCTTGCACGGTACAGGTGCGTTTCTTGAGGCGAAAACTTAGCTCCTACGCTATTCTCTTCTGGTCAAACCTTGCCATCGACGTGACTAATAAAAAACAAGCCCATCATTGCTCTTGCATGTTTTCGATCGCCACCTCCTGCACAACTCGTGCACTTGTGGTCACACAACGCTGAAAGCTCCACTTCAGACTCCCTGCTTCGCATCATATGTCCACGTTCGACATCCCTTAAGTTTGCTCGAATTCACGGCCAGTCATCGTTCTTCTTGCTCCTACCCTCGCATGGCTTCTCCTCTTTCTTCTTCACATGCTAATGCATTATCTCCCATCATCAAGCATCTTGAGATCACTCATGAAGGTGCCCCTAGATTTCCTTCTCCCACTTGCCCGACTCTTGACACCATTTATAAGTTCAATTCATTCCCATCCGAGAAATAACACTTACATTACATACATACCTTGCGTATAATCTTCCCCTCTTACAAAAATCCTATCCTCAAAATTTGCATATCATAGCTATGTTTATGATCATATGATCTATTGCAAACTACTTAAATTTCATATTAGATTTTTCGTTAATTATCCTATTGGCTCTTAGGATATGAATAATGTTACTTAATCTGAACTCTTTGTTGTGATAGCAATTTTGTTATAATCCAGCCTATGGGCTTGGAATTTCCAAGGTGGGAACGAATGATCGGACAATAAAATTAAAATTTTCTACGATTATTTTTTATCACTAACAGTTTATAATCCAAATAAATTAAAATAGCCATTAAAAAAAGTAATTTAATTTAATAAATAATAATTTCACCATTTTTCTAATCTTGCCTTCCATAGACGGTCTCTCCTCAAGTGCTCATCTTCTATTTAAAAGCTTAAATCAAAAAATGTTAAAACAATATAATAAGTTTACCAAAAAAATCTAGCGGATTAATTATATCTGTATACTACAGTGGCATAAAAAAAAGAAGAAAATATATATGCTGGTATTTTCTATTATGTTATAGAAAATCAATTAATAATTTATATAAAGTATACAAGACATTTGCTCATGTAATGAATCTAAGCTTTACTTATGCATTAACGTTGTTTTTCTTTTTAATAATTTAATCTTTTAATTTTTATTATACTTTTTATTCTTAACTTATATATCTGTCTTAAGAGCAGTGTCTAAATATAACCAAAAACACTCCTGTTCGATAAATATCCCATCAGCAAAGTAGAGCACAGACTAGGTTTACTATTATCTAAGGTGGAAATGTATCTGCTCACTCATAACCAATATT